AAAAGATCTTTCTCCTACTATGAGGGGAGGGACATCTTCCTCTTCCCAGATTATACCTAAAATTCATTCATTTTGGTATAGACTACTACCCCCTTTGATGAAGGATTAGAACACTATTTATAGTAGGCGCTTAAAGACCGGGCTTCCTGAACCCGTGGAAAACAAATGCGCCAGATTTTATTCTTTTGTTCTTTTAATAAACTGTCCGTGAGATTCTTCCCCTCCCCTCCTTTCCTGCTGGTTTACTTGCATTCTTATATGTTCAGTGTTTTTCTCTTCTGTCTTTGTTCCAGTTTATCAGCAATTTACACACAGTTGTTTCCCAGACTCCACAATTTCAACAGCAAAAATAACAATGACCTTTAGAGCCCATGAGCAATCTCGGTGGTGGTAATTTAGCAGAAAGTTACAGTAATGAACAAGAACTCTGCTCTTAAATGTTAGATCACTAAATGTGTTTTATGAGTGTTTATTACTTCTTTAATGCACTTCCTGTGCACCAGGGAGATAACCATATTCCAGGGAAGGATGAAGTTTTTAATTGGCGAAAGTGGCCAATTTGTGAATCTCTTCTGCTTTAAAGATACATTTTCAGGTGTGATTTAGTCAGAGCAATCAAGGGGAATGCTTCTAGCTAGAAAGACAATAGTGCAAACAACAGAAGGGCTCTTACCAAGATACCTTAACTCTTTGAAAACTGTGAGCTGGGCTTTTCTTGCGGGAGAGAGGGGAAGGTGACTGAACACTTACATTTCACTCCCCAGATCTGGGGCTGCTCAGGGATTGCTTTGGTCCCAGGCATGCCTGAGAGCAGACAAAATGTATTGTCAACAATAAACTTCCTCAGTTTTCAGCCACTTCCCCTCACCCAGCCTTCAGAACAGTGGGAAGCCAAAAGCAGATGACATGAAGCCAATAGAAGAGGTTTATAATTTGGCTTTCCTACTCTGTAGGTGATTGTACCTGTGGCTTTTGCAGAGTCCATGGGAAAGGTGAGGAATCTAAATGCAGGCCAGAATTTTCCATCTGTATAAAAATCTTCAACTATTCTTTGTCTTCAGTTTACATACAGACCCATTTCTAAAACTGGTAGGAGTGATTGTAAGGATTTAAGTAGAAATAGGAAGAGAGCTTTGTCTGTAACTAGTGTAAAGGCAAAAAACCTCTCAAAACCCCCACTGAAGTTAGGTGTTATTAGCAAGAGGTCAGGGTTCAAAGGAGTGACTTTAAAACAGGGAATGTTGGTTTCCCTACATCGCAGCACCCTTAAACTGAAGCAGGACAGATGGGAAGGTTACTGTCCTTTTTTTAGCTGAGTATTCAGGAGCATGAAGTCAGTGCTTTATCTTCCCCCTGTATTTTAGACCTGTCTCCTCTCTCTACACTTTTATTATGCTAATTCCTCTTCACTGCCTGTCTCTTACACTTGAAATGTTTTGAATCAGGTGTGTTCCAAGCTAATTGTTTTACATTTCCAAATGAAGCAAGGGAATTTGTGTTCAAGGTGAAGCAATGTAAAGACCTATTTCAGTGATCTCTTTTGCAGTACAATTCAGCACTTTATTTTGTGGCCACTGGAAAATGACATTGTAGGAGGTCATTCTACAGGCTGTTGCAGCATCTAGAAAGCAAGTTTAGACAGAGCACCAGTATTGTGTGGCCTTGCAAGACACGTCTGGGTCCACATCCATCCAAATCCCTTGATAGATGTTAATAACCAGCAGCATGACCCTGGGGGTGATCTGAGACAGTTACTGGACTAGGGACACAAGTTATTAATTTATTTATCTGCTCTGGGGAACTTTGTGTGACCCATTTCAAGGATGGACAGGAGAAGAAAGCATCTGGAGACATGATTCACATGACAGTAGCAGGGTTTGTAAGAAGCTGGGTGTTTCAGAGGGAGTATATGTACATACTACTAACTTAGGAAGGATGGACAGAAATGCTGCCACTAATCCTGCCTACTAGCTCTGGTACGTGATGCTGTTCAGCCTTTGCTCCTATCTTGGGCTACAGTGGAAAGACTTTGTTTGTTTGTTTAAATCTTTTCTTGGGTCTTTCCCAATTTTAGCCTGAACTCTAGATATTTGGCTCTTAAATTCAATCTCCAGGGTGCTTCTGACTAATGCCAGGGTGCTATTGTGGGGTTTTACAGGAACTCTTGGGAACAGTCTTGCAGCACAGAGTGTGTGGACCAGGATTATCAAAGCCCAGTTTTAGCTCTGCAACACTGGGTTTCAGTGCACGAGAACTGCTTTCTGTGCAGATTACACTGTGTGGTCCTGACTTCTGCATCCGACTTTCTGGACCACCCTGCCTGAGGGCAATAGAGATGAAAAGCATGTGCACTTCAGAACTGTTTTGTAGGAATTTTCCCTCATTTTAGAGAACTTTTGTTCCATAAAATACTCATTTTCCTCTAAACCAGTTATTATTAGCCTGGGTTCATACCAAAAGGTTCAGCTATTTCCCAAAACAATTACTTGGTCCAGGTAATGCAGAACTGGGAAGAAGTTTAAATACAGAGGTTTGAAGAAGTCAAAACCAGAACTGGGATCTGGATTCAAGCATCCTACTTAAACAGATAATTGCAGTGACTGAGGTGGAACATTCAGACTTAAATCCAAGTCCTCTAATATGCTTTGTCTGGGATATGGAAGGCATCTTCCTTTATTAGGTTACTTTCCTGCTCAACATTAACATTTCATGCTTTGAAGGTTTATTGTGTTGGCTGGAGTTATACCTTTATATACACGTCGTCCCTATGGAATAGCCTGGTCTCCTTTCATCATTATTAGTAATTCTAGGCTTGTCATTTCCTATCCATGCAGTCTGGACCTCGCTGCGCTGTTGCAGGATGGTTGATACAGTGCACAGGAAATGTTCTGTTTTTTCAGGTCTCTACCACTCCTGAGTATTTTTTTCAGGGGCTTCAGTTTTATTGCCATGAAGTCCATTTCCTACATGTAGTACAATTTACTAAATTACAAATAAACAAGGCACCAACAGAGAAGTCAGTGAAAGTTCACACTAAGAATAGAAGCTTGAAAAGTTCAGTTATGTGACCTTCTTCAGGAGCTGGATACAAAATAGACCTGCTGTTTTTCCCTTTAATTTGCAGTCCAGGCAGAAAAGAAATCGAACAGTTCCCAGAGAAACCCAGCCCCTTCTGTTTGTTTCTATGAATCTTCCAGAAATGCTTTATCTGTTGACATCCTGGGTATGGTGATATGGAAATGAACTTACTTGGCCTCCTCATTTCCCTCCTGTATTGTCATCTGATTTCTGCATTGATCTTCCTTTCTGCAATGCTTAAAGATCTACCAGTCATGAAAGAAACAAGGTGTTACTGATAGGTACCTTTAAAATTGGCCATTACAGCAAATCAGGATCATCAGATGAAAAATACCATGTATGTATCAGTCACTGCTTATTATTTCCCTTCAGAAATAGGTTTGGGAAAGAAAAATAATTCCTAAGAACAAGTTTTTAGGCCCTTGGTCAACGTAGTAGCTATTCAGACTAAAGAGTTCCTTCCTTTCAAATGATGAGGGTTTTTTTTACTCCTTATTATTCAACATTTTTTGCTTTGTAACATACTATCATCTGTATGTTTAGCTCATCTTGCAAAGTCCCCCAAAGAGTAAAGGGGTGAGGTATTTTCTGTTTACAGGAGTTAGCGTGCCCTTTAGGAGTTATTCCAAAGAGCTCCTGCCCCTAACAAACACCCAGAGCAGCACTTCTGCCCTGGTGTGCTTGGCAGGCAGAGCATCACTGCAACTTTCAGGGCTAAAAAGCGTGAATTAGACAGAAGGAATCACAGCTCTCCAAATGCCTCGATGAAACCAGACTATCTCTGGACAATTTCTGCTTAAAGTTAAATATTAGACACTCTCTCCCTGACATTCTTTTTTTTATTTAGTCTAAAAGGCTTAATATTTAACTCAAAATACCTAACAACTGCAAATGCTAAGTGCTGAATGTTGTTACATCTTCCAGCAGATACATAAAGTAGCGCTTAACCTCAGTGGGATATATTTAGACATGTGTAGCCATCTCTGGACTTCGTGCTTCACTTGAATGAGAAAACCAGTTGCTACGTTGTGAATTTACGTGTGTTTTGAAGCAGAAGGCACAGCCAGTAGTTCAGTGGGAATAACTGGTTTAAACTCAGTGTCGACTTGCTGAAGGAAATGTTCTTCATTAGATGCACTTTTATTTTTGTCCCAAATCAAGGTCTTAATTGATTCAATCCTTTGTCTGACATTAACTCTGGTTTTGGGATGGATTTCCAATTATATTGGGCCTCAAATCCATATTAAAGTCAAAGTTCTTTATTGCTGGCTCCTGTTCAGAGTCTTAGTGCAACTGAAATGGACACACAAATATCCGTGAAAACCACTGCCATTTTATGACCTCCTATTTCCAAGCTTTTCTGTTGGAATGGTATCATTGTAAAAAGCTCCTAAAAGTACCATGAATGGCCAAAGGGGCAGGACCCTGGACATTGTATCACCTGGAATGACTGGCCTTCCTTCCTCTCTCTTCCTCTTTTTCTTTCTCCCTTTCTTTCTCTCTTCCTTTCTCTCTCTCTCTCTCTCTCTTTCTTTCTTGTTCTCTCTCTCTTCTCATCTTTCTGTCTTTTTCTTTTCTCCCCCTCTTTAATTGTCTCTTTCTTCCTCTCTTCCTTTCCATCTTATCCCTTTATCAAAACCTCACTGTTGCGTGCTTATAAGGCTGGGGGCAAGGACTAACTTAATTTCCACGAACTACCAATTTCCACACTAACTGTGCCATTTGCTAATAGCGCTTTCTGAGTTTTTTGAGGACCCTCAGACCCCCAGTGATTCCTGGGCTCTCCCTTCCCCTTCAGGGTGGGACGCCGCATTTTTGGCCACACTCGGTGCACAAGGGGTAAACAAGGGGTAAACAGCCACCGAGGGCCGCGGCCCGTGAGGGGAACGGGGCGTGTCCCGCCGGGGCGCCCGGGGCGAAGTGCGGGGGGCGGGCGAGAGGCCGAGGGGCAGCGAGCGGCCCAGGGGCAGCCAGTGCCCGCTCTCTCCGCCATGGCCGAGTCGCTGGAGTCGCTGGAGTCCTGCCTGGAGCAGCACATCCCGCCCGGGGAGCTCGCCGAGGTGAAGCGGATCCTCTACGGGCGCGGGGCCAGGTGCGCTGCCAGGACGGGCTCGCCCCCACCGCGGGTCGCTGTCCTGACCCGCCCGGTGTCCCGGCGCTCCGCTCCGCGGGGATGTCCGGCCGGGAGTCAGGGGAAGGAGTCGGTGTGAGGGCGGGTGTGCAGGACACAGGGCTGGGCTGAGGGGGAGAAGGAAGAGTAGGGTTTGTGTTTCTCTGCTGAGGTGACTGGGGCAGTTTGGAGGTGATCCAGATGTGAGAAGGTGACTGACAGGGATGAAAAGTGTGACGGGAGACTGGGAGGTCGTGGCGTCGGGGAGGGAGAGCTGGAAAAGTGGTGATCAAACGTGAGGAGAAATACACTGAGGGGAAGTGCTTGTAATCCAGCAGGCAGGTGGAGGTTTGTACGTATGTACTCCTTGATCTCTGCAGCAAGGTGTTGGTGTCTGGAAGTGACAAATAAGGGGGGGACGCTGGGAAGTTGGTGCCATGGAGGTGATGGGTGAGACCTGCACACGACCTGACCACTGCTCCACTGTCCCTTGGCTGATAGATGCATATGGTGGCGTGGGGGCTTGGGTGTCAGCTGGTTAGAGAGTGTTTGTGATCCCCTGGGTCCATTGCACTCAGAGCAGAAAAGGAGAACATCTCGTCCTGAAACGTCTTTGTTTCCTGTTCAATCCAGAAAACTTAATTTGCCAAGTGCTGCATGGTCAGCAGCTCAGGAAAGAGATTTTGAGCTACAGGGCTATGGATTTGAAGCTGCTCCGGAGCAATTGAGAAGGCCACGTATCGTTCGAGTGGGACTGGTACAGAATAAAATTCCTCTTCCCACAGACACACCAGTGGCAGTCCAGGTACACAAACCGGGACCGGGGCCATTTGTAACTCATGTTCTGCTGGATTGAGAAATAACATAGTTCAGTTGCTGATTTTAGAATCTGCATCATGAAATGTCTAATCATTGTCTGGCAGTGTAGGACCTGTCATTACTGCAGTATAGGATCCTGTAGGAGATTTGGATGGCACATTCAGTTTTATTGTTTCTCAGAAACATCTCTTTCGTTTACCTACTGAAGGCCCAACCTGCTTGCAGTTTTTCCAAAGCTCAATATTTAGTAGCTCATTTTGTACCTGAAAATCCTTTGCCTTTAAAATGAAAACATAAAATCATTTACACAAAATCAAAAGGGATGGCAACCGGTGGAAACCACAGGTGCAGTTCTTGTTTTAATTGAGAAATGTTCCATTATAGGAAAATCCATTAAACACAGATTAATACAGCTGTGTTCATTATTCTTTATACAACAGTCACTGAAATCTTATTACAAGATAACATGGTTTAGTGGTGACTTGGACTTGATGATCTTAGAGGTCTTTTCCAACCTTAATGATTCTGTGACCATCATGTCTCAACATCTTGGACACAAAAGTGTTCAGGTGACACATATGTATAGAAATAGCCTCTTAAGAGTAGCTTTAAAAAAGGGAAAGAAAATACCATATTTATAAAATCTCCTGGAGTACTGGTTTTGTACAGTGACAGGACAGAACATTTCTGAAGTAATTTGTTTTGGAAAGATTTACATGTCACAGATGCAAGTCATTAAATCAGTAAATGGATCAAGTTTGTGGATTCTGTATAGCAGCTGTTGAAGAAAGTACCAGTTATATTAATGATTTTACCTTATAAATAACTAGTTAACTATTTCTGTAAATATACAGCTGTTGAGTTCGTAGGTCACTGCAGTCTTGTCTTGAGTCTTTTTTCTTTAATTGACACCTGAAAGTAGCAATGCAAAGTGCTACACCTATGCTTATCTTTAAGTAGAATACTCTAGATAGCTACTTAATAAATGCTTTGATGGTTTTTGTTGTAATAATTACTTAGCTCTTAGGACAGAGGACTTTAGAAAATAGTTTGAAGTTAAAAACTTTTAAAGAGTGTCCAAGATCCACATATACAAGCAGGATTTGGAGATAACCAAGGAAATAGACCGTCCTTGCCTCATATTTTAAGATTCTGAGTATTTGACTTCAAATTCACATTTACTTAACATTGTTCTGTAGGTTGTTCACAGTGAGCAGCAAAATTATAATTTTTGCTGATTCCATTAAGACTTTCAGCTTTTTGCAGTCAGTCAGCAACGAGTTGCCATATATATAAATGTTGCAACCTTGGAATTAGAATCCCTTTGGAATGCTTTCTCTATTTTCAGCATCTAAATGCTTTTACGAATCTATATCTGACTCTATTATCAGTGTTCAAGAACGATAGCTTGTTGAGTTACTCCCTCTGAAAGCAGTGGCACTAAGTATAGAGCAAGATAAACTCAATGTGAACAAAGGTTGTAAAACCAGGCTGTTAACAGAGAAGTGAGTTAGAACATGCAGCTTTTTTTATAGTGTGGCATTTCTCACAATCAGATGGCTGCTCTGCACAGACGAATTGAGGAGATTGTGGAAGTAGCTGCAATGTGTGGGGTCAACATTGTGTGTTTCCAGGAAGTTTGGAGTGAGTACTTTCCGTGATTCCTTCTAAGTTGTCAGGTGTTAAGTTCCTTCTAACAGATGTCCTGTACTAGAAATGTGTCTTGTAAGTAACCAGCAGAAATCTTCCAAGATATAACAATTGACTTTACTGATTTGCTTCCTAAAGGAAAAACCAAAGAGCCTTAGTTAGGAGAAGTGTATGGAAGATGTGTGTGAGGTCTGTTACATTGAAGACTGGCATAATCTGCAATGGTGATATTTGTAGCTCCTTCATGGCGCCCTTCATGATTCTTTCCTCATTTTTTTTTCTCCTAAAACTTTAGGTTTTTTTCTAGACCGGTACTAAAATTTAAAAATCTGTTTTTAAGTAACATGTGGTGTTTGAGGCTTAACAGAAGCAAACCCCAAAAAGAAGTCCTGTGAAATGTTTGTGAAAACAGGTGCAGACAGTGTACACTAGTGGCTGGGGTGTATTTTGTGGTTTTGCCCCTGCTGAGACATCACTTAGTGCATTCATTCTCTTCTGCTTTGCCCTCTGTGGGCTCAAATCTCCTTGCCCTTGCTAAAAATATTCTTAAATACCTTTTGCCTTTAAGCAAGAAAAATAGTTGAATCATTCTTGTTTAATTTTTTCTTTGTGTTCATGCAAATAGTATGTATTTCTTGAGTGACATGAGCATTCTTGTGAATTTTGTCTTGCCTTGGTGTTTTCCAGCCATGCCCTTTGCTTTTTGTACAAGAGAGAAACTGCCTTGGACTGAATTTGCTGAGTCAGCAGAGGATGGGCCAACAACAAAATTCTGTCAAGAGGTAAAAAACCCAGCCAAGCAGAAAACCCCAAACCCACGTCCATCCTCCATCCCCAGCCCATAACTGCCACTGATTAGCATGGATTTCTTCTTTATGTGCCATTCTGGTATCACTGAGAAAACTGAAATAATAAAAGATAAACTTGCTTGACAAATACAACCGTAGTGAGTTGAAGTAGAAATGGACAACAGCTGTGCTCAGTATTTATTTTTTAAACTCCTTTGCATTTAAAGACTGCCTTTTACCATGAAAATCAAATGAAACTGCCCGTTAAACTACTCCTGAATTTTAAACGGGAGGAATGGTTCTTCACACAAATATTTTTAATTTCTATTTAAATGGTGTTTCTTTCCTAGAACAGTCAAGCATTAAGCAATGTTTGCATGGAAGTGTGAGGAGAAGAGCAGCCTTTTCTGAACAGGGAACACTGTCACACAACTGTTTGGATCCCCCTCTGGAATGACACAAATGTAGGGAACTTTTTATGGACCCAAGGAGATTTGTTATTGTCTGGCTCTTGTTTCTCCAGAGACTGTTGATTAGAAGGGTGACAGAGTTTATTTTTGTTTTCTTACAGCTTTTTTTTTAAATAAGCAATTTCAATTATTGTCAGTTACAAGTGATTGAAACAACAAAAGACTGTTTTGATGTCAGATTTTCCCAGATATACACTGAGCTATTAAGCTTTTGTGGCCAGCATAATATCTCTAGTCTGATCTAGGGCAAGAACATGTTGCTTCTCAACGTGGAATTAATGACACTATGGAAGCTTGGAGAAATAAAAGAGAGAGAAGTGATTTGAAGGAAAAGACAATGTGCTAGTAAATTGGCAGAAGTTGCTGTATTTCTCACTCATACCTATGTCACTTAACACTTATACTATACATAATGCTATCTTACTTTTTTTTTTGAATGAAATAACTGTTTTCAGTGAGCTGTGGTGTCTGTTGGTCTGGGATACTGCAGGTTTGTGTTTATTTAATAGAGAAATTGTGTTCGTTTGTACAGCTGGCAAAGAAACATAACATGGTTGTGGTATCTCCAATCCTGGAGCGAGATGAAATACACAGTGGAATTCTGTGGAATACTGCAGTGGTCATTTCTAATTCTGGGGCTGTCCTTGGCAAAAGTAGGAAAAACCACATTCCAAGGGTTGGAGATTTCAATGAGGTAAGATGCAGTACGGTGACTGTCAGGTCTTACGTTGCAGCTCTTTGTGCCAGCGTGTGCTGTGTCAGTGTCGTACTGGCAGGAGATGTAATGTGTTTCTAGAAAATGTGCTTCACTTACTGCCAAATCAGTTTTTCTCAGATGAAATTATACTAAGTTAATTTCTCAAGAATTAATAATTGCTATGAGAGTGATGAGTCTTGAAAGACAAATGATGTTTGTCATGTAATCTTCCTTGGCCTGGCGGAAACTACAAAAGTATCGAGAATCTTTAAAAAAAATCATTGAATTCACAGCTGTGTTATGTTTGTTGTGCATGATTGGCTTGGGTAGTGTTTTCATGTGTGCATGTTGAACTTGTTTCAATTTGCAAGGTAATTGTTTCATTGCTCAAGTGTGAACATTACAATCTTTCTGTGTTTCTCTGTGAGGCTGTGTTGGAAATGACAGTTCTTTTGCTTGTATTTCTTTGAGCAGAGTCCTTTAATTCGTTACACTTGTGACTGAATAGCTGGTTTATGGCATCTGCTGTTTACTGATCACATTGCTGCCACTGAAGTCCCCCCAGCAGGTTTTAGGCCATCCTGGAGAATCAGCTTCAGCTGAACTAGCAGTAAAGGCAATGTCAGAAGAAAACTGGTAGATCTAAAATGTGTTTATCCATCTATAGAATTATCACAAGTAGAAAGATCAGGATTAAAAATTAACCAAAGTCTAAAAATGCATTGTCTTACCTGACTAAATCTCTCCTTATCAGCTAAAGTGAGTAAATAACAGAGGCATTTCTTCTAAGCACTGGGTGCTGCTCTATACCTGCAGTTGTTTTTGTTCCCTCTCTGAATGCTCCAGTCACCAATCTGAGGCTTCAGAATCTAAACTGCTTTTTTATTAATTTAAAAACTACTTTTGGGTCTTGAAAATTCATGTTCAAAGACCTCTGGGAGTTTTGACCTGGGATCCTGGACCTGTTCGGGCTGGTTTGTGTTTCTTCAGAGGAGGCTGTTAAGGGTTCTGCACAATGCACTTCTGGCACAGGCCTGTCAGTCACCAGTGCTACCTTCTATTTTTAACCATTATTTTGTTACTTAATATTATTTTATCAGGTCTGTCCTTTAGTAACTCAAAATAGTAACTCACAAACCCCTTAGTTACTTTACACACTTTTTTATTTGTTCCTTGTGTAATCCAACAAAAAACTAAATTCCTGTTGCTTGTCCTAATCTATGATGTCTTTCAGTTTTCCAGACTGTTTTGTGGAGCATCAACAGATTCCAAGAAACTTGTTGTTTCCAACTATGAAACTGTAATAAAAAGCACCTAAAAAAAGAAAATATTTTTACTTTTTCATGTCAAATATAAATAAGAGTTTCAGTAAGAGTTTTGCTTAGTTGCTAAAAGAAGTTAGTTCTTAGAATCCTAAATGCCAGAATTACTACAGAACAATCTGTTTATAGCTTGTGGGTGTACTGTAATGATTTGACATTTCTTCTTGTATCTACCTTGTTATAGAATCAGGTAGTGTTTGCTCAAAACAGCACTGTCTTCCCCTAGTTTTGTCAGCAGAGCATTAAGTCCATTCTTCTGACCTGAGCAGTTCTGAGAGAGCAACTTTAGAAACCACCCAGGCTCCAGGAAAGGATTATGTTCATCTGTGCTACTTTGATGTTGTTTTCTTTATCAACAAAGTTAAACCTCAAGGAAATGTTGAGTTTGAAATCATTTCTTGTGGATTGTCTCTGTAGAGCAGATGGGGAAAGGAGCCTTGCTAAAGTCATGCCCATTGAATCAGTGAGAACTAAATGGAAAGCAAAAGATTGGTCTGTGGCCTATTCAGCCATGTGTGGGAGGGCACATAAACAAAAATCAATCCTTCTTGAGCCATCACAGTTTGTTGCTGCGGAGATGATTGTGACCTCTGGTGAGGAATAAAGAAATAAGAACTGATGAATTCCCTGAAGCAACAGCATTCTTATTTTTCTTCTCCTATTGTAATAGGAGAAACTCAGAATGGAAAAAAAATGGAAATATATTCAATTAGCAGGATCAAAAAAAAAAGGATTGTGAAGGAAGATTTTCTCATATGGTGAATGTACTGAGAGAGGTGCCTAAAGCTTAGTGATTTGTGGATCTGCCCTAAGCTTCTGTAGGAACTTCTAGCATTGATAGAAGAGTTTATGCCATAGCCACACAGTGCTCAGATGTAGCATGAGAGAGGAAACAGAAAGGGGCTTGAATTTGATCTCAGCAGCCTAAGAGCCACTTTTTGGTGTACACCCCTTAGAGTGCACTGTGAACTACATGACAGGTGTTGTCCTCACCCATGATCTAATGATTTAAACCTGATTATCAGGAACTGGGAAGTGTCAAAGCAATGTTAGTGGTACTTTCTTTCACTTTTTTTAAGAAGTCTGCCTTTATGTTGTTTTTCTTGTGTTTTGTTTGTAGTCTACTTACTATAGGGAAGGAGATACAGGACACCCAGTGTTTCAGACACAGTTTGGAGCAATTGCTGTGAATATTTGCTATGGGCGCCATCACCCTCTGAACTGGCTCATGTTTAGCCTGAATGGGGCAGAGATCATCTTTAACCCTTCAGCCACTATTGGGAAACTCAGGTAAAATACAAATTGATTTATTGCTCCCTTTCTGGGTTAACTGACCTCTGATCCCCTCACTGGGGATTCAGGGGCACCTTGCTGAGGTCTTGGAACAGGAGGTGTAGCCTCCTTGTTCTGCCTTCACAAAGGAGCCCACATTCTTCTCCACCTGGAGTTTTGAGCTACCGCTCTGCTCCCACTCACTGATGCTGTCTCAGAACTTTACTGTACATCTGCAGGTCTGTCTTTGAGACAGAGTTAGCCAGCATCCAGCTGGTGTTCTCAAAGCTAGTCAGAGTTTATTTAGATAATTCATGTAATATTTGTGCTTTGTGACAGACATTAGTCATTTATGTCCAGGCTTATCTTGCCAGCTTGTGTTGTCCACGTAGGAGTATGAAATTGCAATTTGAGAAACCTTTTTCTGAGAAACATTTTTTTTTTAACTCCCGGCAATTTTGTGATTATCAGGCCTCTTGAACCAGACTGAACCAGTGTAAACTTTCCCTTGAGATCAATCCTCTGCAGATTGACATTAATTGCACCCTGCTGACTTGATTTTCTAAAAGAAAAATTAAAACCAGCTCAGAGGGCTAAGAAAATACACTTCTTAGCTAACTCTGGGGTCGCTTCTCGGATATAGCCTTTTTTTCCTGTCTCTCCTTTTCTGTGAAATTGTAATTTGCTGGAGCTTTTCAACAAAATCCCTGTTTCTTAAAAGAGCTGACTGCCAGACTCAAAGCAGTTGAGAAAAGAGACAATAAACCAAGTCCTTTCAATCAGCCCAGTGACCATCTCTGAAGGTTCTTGAGTCTGACTGGCAGATAAATGAGTGCTTGCAGCCTGTTGTGGGATTCCAAATCTGGCAGGTTGCTGTCACAGGAGTGTACAAATTGTATCACCTTTGTTTTGAAGCTCTAAGTACTTCCAGACCTCCTATTGACCTGTCTGATCTATGTGTATCAAACTATTTAATAAAAAGAAGACTACAGTTTTAAACATGTGTCAGAATTGGAATTTCCTTTGGAAAAAAGGTAGAGGCTTGTTAGAAGGAATTTTTTTATTCCTTATGTCTCTGTTCTTGGTTTTAGTAAATTTAGTGACTGGTTTAATAAATAATTTCTGTGAAGTTATTGGGATGATGTTGTTAAACTCACTTTCTTTCCTATCAACCCCCCATGGGAAAATGACTTTCTGGAAAGTGCTATGAAAACTGTGGTTAAAATAACAGAAATAGAAAATTTTGGTAGAATTTTTTTTTCTTTAATTTCTTTTTATTATTATTATTCCCATAATTATTTTTTTTTCATTCACTGCTGCAAAAGCTTCTCCTGGACCATTTTGGGGGAAGAAAGGAGGCAACTTGTACGAATCCCTTACAGCTTTTTTACAGAATGATGTTTGGTCTATGAAAGTTAATGGACTGTCAGCACATGTGCAAATCTTCTGCATAATTTGGAAAGTAAAATATTTTGCACTTTAATTGCTTCAAAAATCTCGAGATGTGGTAACTTTTTTTTCCATGGCAAAGCCACATTTACCAGTTTATCAGACAGAGTCGTTTACACCTATAACTGCAGAAAATAATCGTGGTGCTTGGCTCTATCTAGGGATATCTGGGACAGCAAGATCAGTCTTAACAGCTGAGTTTGGCTTGGCAGACAGTGTACAGGAGAGACAGTCAGAATGTAATTTGGGCACAGAAGTGTACAAGTAGTGAATTCCTGCTGCCTCTTTGATACTGCAGCGAGCCGCTGTGGCCGATCGAAGCCAGAAATGCTGCCATAGCAAACCACTGCTTCACCTGTGCCATCAACAGAGTGGGAACGGTGAGTATCTGCATCGTTTCATTTCATTTCATAGTTCAGGGGGTGGAGTTAATTCAAGGCAATGGACTAACAGCACTAGGATGCAGAGATTCCATTACCGTGTAACTACTGTATTAGGGTTTATGATGTGATATGAAGATGGACAGGGATAAAGAGATTGAGAGCTGCCTCGTTGCTGGCAGCCTCGTTTTTGGTTGCAGCTGCTTCCTGTTCTTGAATTGAATCTTTGTAATAGGCACCCGCCCTTTTGCTAACTCTCCTAGTGTCTGTGGGGATATCAGTATTCTTTTAGCCAAAATGACTGAAAATTAAATATATCCTCAAGACAGTGGTACACAGCTAGTGGCTGTTGTACAGATACTATCTCTTTCTGGAGTGTAAAATTCTATAATGAAAATTAGTATTGCACACAAAAGGTCATTTTTGTCTTCAAATTAGTAGAAATACCCTACTTTTGTATTTTTTTCATGAGGTTCCCTACAAAAATCCAGACTTGTTCTTGCCATTATGTAAATACGTTTGGCCTTCTTTTGTGATCCAAAAAGATGTGTTTGATTAAATATCTCCTCCTTTGCCTCTTTTTTAAACTTGTGTAACAGTTGCAAGGCATGTTCTCCAAAGTGTGTGAGCAACAGGCAGTGATAAAAGACCTTGTGTTCTATCCCATCCATCACTGAAACTAGGCCCCTCTGATGAGTCCCTTTGGACAGTGCTGATAGTGTGCCAGAAAAAAATCTTGGTAGATTTATATAAACTTCCAGACTGAATATGATAGACTAGCAGGGATGTCTCAAATGAAATGGAACTATACTGCCACCTATGGATTCCTCTTGTTTCACAGGAATACTACAAAAATGCTTTTACTTCTGGAGATGGTGGAGAAGGTATGTTCAGAAATCACATTCAAGGCTTGCTAATAATTGTTACTGAGAAAGTCTGAAGAAAGGATGACTGTCCTGCAAGTGTCTTCCCTGTGCAGCTGGAGTGCCTAGTCACTGCCTCACCTAACACTGCTGTTTGTTAGCTAGGGAGAAGGAGTATTTCCTAGGAATGGTGGTGGTACCTCAGTATGTGCTCGCCAGAAGTTGAGACCTAAGGTTTCTGTACACTTCTGGAGGACTGAGAGTTAATGCAGGAGGACTGGGAGACAGAAATCCCACAAATTAGCCTGTGCTGTCAGTGCATGCATGACATTGTATTTCCAGTTTTAAGATTATTAAGAGTTATTCCACAGCCCTGGAAGTGTTTAAAGGCAGGTTGGACGGGGCTCTGAGCAACCTGGTCTAGTGTAAGGTGTCCCTACCCATGGCAGGGATTTGAAACAAGAGGATCTTTAAGGTCCCTTCCAACCCAAACCATTCTGCGAGTTTGTGAACAGTAATAGCCCTAACCCGAATCTTCAGCCAGGACATTTTTTTCCTGTTTCTCAGATTTGCTGGGAGTTAAAGAGAATGATCAAAGAAGAACGTGAGGTTTGCTTGTATGTACTTGTATGTTGAAACATTAGAATTTGACCTGTGACAACCCGTGCTGCTTCTGGCTTCATCCAGAGTGAGCCTGAGCCTGTTTTTTGGCCAGTTTTGGAGCTAAGTGTTTTTAGCAGCTGCACGAAAAAGACCAGTGGTGTCCCTTGCTTAGTAGTACAACAGATGTGGTTGATTTTTAGCACAACTCAGGAGTTGTGCAATATGAAATAGTATCTTTTCCGTGCCTCAAATCCCACTGTTTTCACCTCTGACCTTGTATTGAGAGTCAGTTGGGTGAATCTCTGTCAGCTGTTTGGGAAATGTATGATTTGACAATTAGAATTCATTTAAATGCTAAATAAAAATAAAAGCAAAGCCTTTAGTTTAGAGACTTAATAATGGGAAAGCATAATCATGCATTATTTAAAAGGCAGCGCAGTGAGTTTTTCCTGTTAATTTGATGGTGTACAGTGCATGAAAGTAAATTACTGGCCAAAAGTGCAGTTCCTTTAGGGTCGTGATGTGACTCTTCAGGATGACACCTTGCCTAAAGGGCAATGAGTGAGCAACTGTTAGAAATTGAGCCAGGTTTTATGGGACACTGCATGTTAAGTTCTATACTTATTTGCAGATGGTGTTACATGCTTTTTAAAAATGTCTTTAAGCGCACCATGACTTGGGCCATTTTTATGGCTCCAGTTACGTGGCAGCACCCGACGGCAGCAGGACCCCAGGACTGTCTCGCACTCGGGAGGGGCTGCTGGTGGTAGAGATGGATCTGAACCTTTGCAGGCAAGTCGGTGACAAGTGGAATTTTAAGGTAAGCCTGATTATAAAGAAAATATAATATTAGAGACAATAAGCCTTCATAATGATTCCAGCATCTTACAATAGCTAAAAGGCAGGTGTTTTTTATCGTAGCAGTCCAGAGCTTAAATTGTTGAATTGATTTAACAGGATGTTCTGGAGGCTAAAGGCATAAACAGATTTGGAAAAGGAGTTGCCAAATTCAGGGAAACTAGGCCAGTAGCTTTCAAATGAAAACCTGAGGCTCTGGACCCTAAGTGTGGATTGCCAGGAGCTCTGAGGACTGCTGGGGAAGTGTCTGTGCTTTCCTTGTGCAGTGTATGTAGGCATTTGTCTCTGAGCTGAGATGGGCCTTTGATCTGATCTGATGCAGTAGTAGTATATATTCTTAGGGCCTTAATTGTAGTTTTGGTGAAATTTAGTGAAAACCCAAACCCACAAGCTTCTGAGTGCAAACTTCTTGCAGTGCTAACTCCCTGAATTTGTGGCTATGTTGGAGCTACAGAGAAAGACCTCTCTGTACTGTGTACAGTCGTCTCTAAAGCATCCTAACACACTTTTGAATTTCTCTAAATCAGATTAAGATGGCTGCAACCCACTCCACATGGCTGTAACAAACTTATTTGTTACTATTTTTTTGTATTCTGAGATAAAGCTAATTTGGATCATCTTTCCTGCGGGTGTAATTTGATTTAATTTGTCCAGCAGCAGTGCTGGTTGAAGAAATGGCTGGCTTAGCACAGCAGCTTGCTAACCCTTCAGCTGTGCCAGTACAAGCTGTGTAGGGTGCTATATGTTTAAGTATTATGTACTGATTTAGTGGGACGACCAGATTTATTTTTTTTAAACAAATGACATTCTAGTTCCCTTTTTCTAATCTGATCAAGTTTACAACAGGCCCCACAATACCCTGTTGGAACAACAAAGAAGGCAAGCAAAAGGAGAAAAGAGGTGTTAACTTCTGAAGTAGGCTTTGATGATGAAGAAAACATCTTGCTCTCTTACGGGGAGACAGGTTTTAGTTTTGTTTTAGTTCTCAGTACTGCTAGAGACTAGAACTTTTTCCTATCTACTCTTTAAGATCATCATAATTTAAATCCTAACAAAGTAGATAAGAACTCCAGGCTAGCAACTGTCACAACATATGTAGGTTCTTCAGTGATGACCTAATATTTAAAATAAGTAATCATTTGCAGGAAGCGTCAATTTTTTAATATCATGTTACTGCAAGGAGACATTTGTTTCACAGAGCTGGTTTATTTGCATCCTATGCATTATAATATGGTGCACTGTCTAAGGTGTTTTGATTTCAGTGTGATGTAAAAAGGCAAGTTTTCTGTGGATTTGAAATGCTGAATAAGCTTTTTAATGAAAATGCAATAATTTCTTAGCTAGAGCTTAATTTCCTTGCTAGTGTTGCTAGTCCATATATAGGGACAAAACCCAAAAAGTCATTTCAGGTCATCTTCTGGACAGAATTGCATTTGCTATTTTGCAGATGCCTGTGGTAGATATGTGGTTGTTGTTATAGTGGAATGAAACTGCGCTGTGAGATTCCCATTTTTTTAAGTCAGGCAGACATTCAGTTCTGCTTTCCCACTGAAATCCAAGGCCCTTATTGCAAGTAGATTTAGTGTGTCAGGAAGCACATGGAGCAGTGCTTGTAACAGCTTAGTAGGGATATCTGAACAACAGCGGTTGCATTGATTAGGAAAAACAAACAGTAAAAACAAAACACTGACCTTTGGCTGTTTTGTGTAGAATTGTGTATTTTTTTGTTGTCCTCAAGTCTTGTGCTTTCAGCACCTTAGTTGTATGTTGATGGTGTGAACTGCTATTGTTGGTCTTTTGGCACATAAGGCACAGCTGTGGTTTTGTTTATGTGACAGTGGGTGGCTGTTTCCTTTTCCTCTCATTTGTGGCCAAGACAGAGGTAGTTCTTGATGAGGGGAATGAGGAAGTGTGAAGTCATCGGTTACCCGCTGCAGAAAACCCTTGATAGCAAGTAGGAGCCTATTTAACCTGCTCTGGGATCTGTGGTTTGCATCCAGTGATGCCTGAAAGGGACGTTCTGTAGAATGTCTTTGCTTAACTTAGAGGAGCAAAGGAGTTAAACAAATTATCTACGTTATACTCTGGCAATAAAGAAGTAACTGGCTCCTCCCAGAGCCAATTGTTGTGGTCTGTGCACTTCAGGAGAGGATGACAACACTACATCAAGTGCTGTATTTCAGCACTTTCAGCACTTGCTCTTATCGCCCAAACCATTAATAGTATTTTATATTATTAAAGGGGAAAGTAAGAGAAACCCAAATTCTGTCAGTGGCACATACACAAATGCACTGCTGGCAGCAGGGTTCATTGGTTTTTAAAGACATGACAAGAAGCCATAATTACAGATACACTCCTTTGCCCTCACTGACATAACTTACTTAAAAATGTTGATGATAAGCAAGGAAGTCCACCCTTCAAATTCAACTTCCAGTTATCCAGAATAACCAAAATAGCCTTAAGTAATTAGTCAGCAGACATGACTGTCAGTGAAGGAGAGCTGTAAAGAGAAAGAGAGCCGTTCATTTAAAAGTTTGACTTTTTAGAGTGGAAATATACATCTTTTTTGTGTAGAAATACAATTATAGGCAACACAGTGCAAGTTCTTTTATCAAAAGTATGTTAGTTTGTGCTAAGGCACTGGAGGTCTTGAATTCTGAGTGAATTATAATTTTGCTTTTTGGGACAATTAAATCCTATGTTATCATAAAAAGAGAAAAAACAGTGGATATAAATATTTTCTACTGAAGTACTTTCATAGCTCACTGAAAGAACTGAAGCTTTGATTTTCCTTTTCCAGATGACTGGTAGATATGAAATGTATGCAGAAGAGCTCGCTGAAGCAACCCAGCCTTACTTTGTACCCAATATCATCAAAGAGTAAGAGAGAGCATCTCATTACACTCAAATATTACAAGAAAAATTAAAAAGTACTCTTGGATGATAACTGTCCTGTGGATCACAAGTTGTTCTTTTAATATTGTCAGTTTAATTTGCTGTAACCAACTTTAAATAATAGGATTCAAAACTGTCTTAAGTAAAATAATTGAAAATGGCTTCTTGAGTGTTTGGTTTGTTATTTACAGTAATGAATGGAAAGTTTTGTTCCTTACTAGAAATACATCCAGTAGGAACACATTGATATAAAATGATCATGAAATTTATTCAGTACAGTATACTGTGATGTAGTTTGATGATGAGTTCACAGAAAGGAAAAATTTTTACATGATATTTGCATTGTGCCTCTGTTTACTTCTGCTTTCTAGTTTTTACCCTTTAATCAAATGTGTACTTTAGGGAGAAAGGAGGCATAAACTGTTTTCATTTGAGGTTTATTTTTTTCTCCCCTAACTACAAACTATTTGATGCAGTTCTGTCAGAGCTGAGTAATGTCCCAGACTTGTCCTAGTTGTTTGAAGATCTGTGGGTGCTGTAAAGCAAGACCCCCTGGGTTCTGTTTCCCTTTTCACCACAACCACAGCTGGACTGGTGTCTTTGATGGGCTCCTTCAAGGTGCAGAAGTCATTCTGAGACGGATGCTTTCAGTATTTTCCGAAGCTGTGACATGCTGGGAGGCAGAAATACAGACCCTGGCTGAAGCATAGGCATGGCTGGGGCAGTTGCATAGTTTTCCCTGTGAACAGAAAGCCATGGAGCTGCTATTGAGGATCTGGATGGGTAAGGAAAACTCCCTCCCTGGGACTGCACTCCAGTAGGATACTCAGTGGTTGTGGAGTACACAGAACAGCTGTGGAATACAGGTAATAATGGTACATTTGCTATTCTCAATATATGTGTTCTGAAATTTTGCTTTTTATGATTCAGGTGATGCAGCAGGTGCTCAGGCAATGCAGACTGAATACAGTTCACAGCCCTGCAACTATGAATTTATAGCTGTAATAAATATTTGAACTCTTATTTTTGTTTATTTTAGGACAGTTTCAGCTGTGCCATTTCTTGTTAAATCCATAACACATCCTCTAAAGGTTTTCCAACATTTTTCCTGGTAAGTTGGTTAATAAAGGCACTTGCTACATTATGTTACAGGGTTATCTGTGAGTTTAAACCTTTATTGAGAATGGCTTAATTACAAATAAAAATATATTTATGTATAAAATCCCTGCATGTAAAATCCCCTTCCTTTGCTATTGACATCCTGACAGAAACAAAGCACAGAACATTTTCAGAATGGGTGTTCTGATAGACAATCTTGTAATGGGAAACCAAGTTGCAGAAAATGCAGATGTTTTGAATGTTTGTGCAGTGAGCTGCTTTTTCCTCTGAATTTTTGTCACATAAGTAGTCAGTCTTTTCACTTGGCTTTTGCTTCTTCCTCGTGTTTTCATCTCTCATAGCTGTCTTCCATTTGGCAGCTGTGTGAGATCCTGTTGCAAGAGTGGAGCTCTCCTTTTTTCTGCACTGGCTTTGTTTGTCTTTCACTTTTGTTGAAGCATTTAAACCCTGGGTGCCAAACACCAGTCAATACTGCTACACCTGTCTGTGCACTTCAGAACACTTAGCTTGCCCTTAAGTTCATGTTTTATCTATAAGTTCAAGAGTCACTTTTGTTAACTGAACCAGTAAGATGCTAAATGTCAATTACAAGCCTTTTGTAACAATTGTTTTTAACTAACCAAGCCTGCTCTAAGATAAATCCTGTGGCAGTTTGATGGTTTGAATGAACTACCTACCTGAAAATGCATGGGTTAAGGAAGTACTCTTAACAGCCTGTAGTTTACATACCTGTTAATTATTAACAGAGCTAATACAATCTCTCTAAATCAAACATCATGATTTTGGACCTGGACATAAAAATTCCCAGATCAGGAGCCTTCTGGTGACCTACTTTGGGGGAGTTGAAAGGCATTACCTGCAGTAGGTTTTGTACCTTTTTCCTGGAGGGATTCTGCTGGTGGTACCAATGTACTGGTTCTATGCAAATCACATCCTGCCTTTTACTCGTTTTGCAAGGATCAGTGCCAGGACGTATTTCAACTTCACCAGTGATAAGCAAAATGGGACACACTGAAAATTTGTCACATACTTTTTGTTTGGAACTTTTTAAAGGCTTCCACATTTTAGATGTCTGTTACTATTTTTAGCCTTTGTACAAAGGAGCACTCTTGACTGTACTAAGTGTACTTAGTCAACACTTAATAGATACTTTTCAGTGAGTCAACAGCTGATAAAATGTTTATCTTAGAAAGTTTTTTACCATGCTGAGCATGGTAAAAATTTAAGCATGCTGAAAGTAGATTCCTATTTATTATATCCACCACTAAATAATAATATCCTTTTGCTGTTATTCCACACAGTTCCAGAACTTAACCAGTTTTTTTCCTGAAACCAAGCCAAAGGTGTGGGATCTCTGTCTTAAGTGCAAACTAAAATTTTCCTAGTTTTACATCAGCTCATTTTCCTACCCACTTCCACATAGGCAGGACTGAAGGTGAGACTTGGAAACTGTGATGGATGAAGCTGAAATAGGTGGCTATTTCTTACACTTCAGAGTGCTCCTCAGCAAAGTAATTTACTAGTTTCTCTTAATGTCTGAATATAGTAACTCCAGCTTAATCAAAATACAGTTGTAGTATAAGAGCCAGAAAAATCTGAGTTCCTGCCTTTTACTTGTAGCAGAGATGTTCATATTTCCTCTTAATTGATTTTTAGCTCGTCTTAGAAGGTCACTGAACTAATACCAGTAGCAAAATTTGGCTCTATGGTTCAACATTTTAGTTACACTGCAGTAGATGCTGTCAGATATTTACACTTTACACACCAAATATACAATATTAGCATGGATGATCATTTTCTGTATTTGCTTAATAAGTTTAGAATGGATTCTGCAGAAACTGGCACGTGTGCGTGGCGTAACATTCACAGGTTTTTTTGCAGAGAGCAGTAAAGACTTCGAGGTGGAAATAAAGTGTCTTCACTTAAATTTTGAGAGCTCTAAGCAGTCACCAAGAGGATTTAGCCAAAAGAGATTGAGTTTGTAGTGCAAGGGGACAATGCCACTAACTACAACTCAAAATTTAACGCAGTTGCAAAATGCCAAATCTGTATATAAGGTGAATTTGGTACATGGGAAGTTTCCTTGAGTAAATGTTTTTCATTCCTACAATGCAGACAATACTGATGAGCTAGAAAGGCATTTTTTTGTTATTTAAAGGTGGTTTAAGTTAATGTTTTTCCTTCTGTAATACCCTGCTGAACTTCAGATCCCTAGATTTAGGATGAAGATCAGCTCCTGATGCTTCGACAGAGAGAAACAGGTATTTTCTACTTTTTTTCTTTGTTTACCTAAACCTATGCATGTATTACCAAGTGTTAAAGTTCATAAATTTGGTGCTTTTTTCTTATGTGTTTAATTTGAAAATAAGCCGAAAGTGACCAGGCTCTGAGCCTGTATTTTAGAACTGCTGTGAAATGTGCAATGTTGAAAATTACAAAAAAAAAAAAAAAGAAACCAAACAAAAAACCAGAGACATACATTGCAAAATCAGATACATCATCAGGGAAAAAAAAAGTAAAGACTGCATTGCAATACAGTCCTGTCAATGTCCATAAAGCCTCCCTTGTTTGAGGTCCCACTGCAGTTCAGGAGCGAGGTCTGTGCAGGGGAGTCCTGAGACGAGCAGCCAGCTGCCATGCAGGCTGGGCAGGAAGGAGCAGGAGTATCCACTGTGGGTGTCAGCTGTCTGTGTAGATGAACAGAATATCTTCATCAGTGCCATAACTTGTCCTGGCTTCCTCAAAGTTAGTGATGCTGGTGCAGCATGTTCCTGTTAAGGAGGAAAAAAGCGTTATGTCTGATGGCCTCCACAAACAAAACAACTGGTATACAGACTAGACCTGGCAGCTTAGGTTACAGCTTTACCCAGGCAGATCTTTTCATCTCAAACTGCTCACTGAAGTAATGCTGTAAATAGGTACTAAACTGGCCATTCTATTGTATTCTGCACAAGGACAGTTCAGCTTGTCTCACTAACCCATCTGAGAGCCAAACAAGCCATTTGCTAAAATGTGTATCTGAATGGCCTGAGTAAATCACAGCACAGAGCGCTGCACTGATGTAATTAATGTGGCAAAACCCCTTCTGGCAGACTGGGCAGTGATGCTTGAAATGCACTGTGAGGGGAGGTCCAGCTGTGGCTCTGTGTTACTGACTTGTTAGTAATGCAGCTGAGAATCCACCCAAAAGAACAGGCTACTCACGGTCAGCATAGGCAGGGTTGTTGTAGTAAATACTCCCTGAGGCTTTGTTGTAGCCACATAACACAATGAAATGGCCCTGGTAGTCAGGACTCCTGCAGAAGCACTTCTGTCCGATGGGGAGGAAGCAGCAATATTTGACAGGACTTGAGCAAAGATCACACAGCAGCAGGACTGCGTTCACTAGGACGATGGCTACGTGACCCTGGGACAGGTGGTTTTGGATGTCTTGAATAGTTACTGTGCTGCAGAAAAAGAACCAGAAATGCTACGTGACAAGTTTAGGAAAGAGGCTGGTGTACAAGGAAGTGTGTGATGGTGGGCAGTACTTGGGAGATACAGCTGGCACAGTTATTTCTGTATCACAGGTACAGCTTTTTGCTGTTAAACCCTGCAGGCTTTGCTATGGACAAAGCTTGACAAGACCTGTGGCATTCAAATACTATTGTAGCTGCCCTGTATCCTCTCTTCTTTGCTTACTCCTCATCAGTTATCCCACTTCAACACCAGAGATCCAAATCCAGCTTCACTATAAAAAGGGACAAAGCTGTTTGATGCTTAGTGATTTCCCAGCAGAATTCCACCACTGATTGTGAAACAGTTCTGCAGTTTTTCCATTTCTCCTGGGTTTGCAGTTCTTTAATTGAGGTTCCTTATTTCATGGTCCCCTTGGCAAAAGCTTGTATGCTAGTTTGTACTTTGCATGTCTGTCTAGGAACAGAGATCTATAATGTTTGCATAACTCTGGGAACAGTGGGTTCTGTGCCCACATAGCACTCTCTGTAATTCCAACAATGGCCAATTAGAGTGCTGTAGGCACTCCTACTGGCTAATTGTAATGGATAATCAAATTCAAAACATAAAGAGTCAACTCCTGTCAGCATTTTCAAATCCCTTCTTCTGTGTCATGACTGCTTTTTCTCAAACTTCATTATTAGCTCTTGATGTCCACAGGGTTTTTTTGAGCTAGATGTAGTAGAAAGACTTAATTCACAAAAAAGGGCTCAGGGCTTGATTTCAGTGAGTGTCTTTCAGCAGTTTAGCTTGTTGCCTCCAAGAAAAGCTTGGGGCCCACAGAATGTCCAGGGAGAAAGGAAGGAAAAGAGTAGGCTTACCACTTCTCCACCAGCACCTTGCAGTCTTTGGCCTGTGCAAAGAGCTGATTCACTCGATTCTCCTCTGTGTCAAAGTGCTTCCTGTAAAATGACTGTGGAGATAACAGAGGTTCTGAACTGGAATGACGTTTACCTTGGGTAATCCACAACTTACAGCCTCTGGCTAGCAAGGGCCTGCCTAAGGTAGATATCTGGCTATGGGATAAAAGATCTCTCCCTTAGTTCCCTGGTGACAGGACAAGGATTCCTGCTCTGAATTACAAGTTTAAATTTGCTCCTGGTCAGTTATTGTTGCAGTTTCCATCCATTGGCTACTCAGCTGCCTACATGAGACAAGCCTGTCTATTTTCCCTGGGGAAAACTGGGCAGGAGCTGCTGCAGGCACTCCTTGGCCCCTTGTTGGCAGCCCTGCAGAGGCCAAGCTCCCAATGGATGGGAGGCTGAGTTCCCCTCTCACCTCCAGAGGTGGATCTTGCAGGTCAGAGCTGAGGCACAGTGGGGAGAGTGTGGAAGGCAACACTGCTGCTGCCCAGGCTATACCTGTTCTGTAGATAAATACAGGGCTTCAGCCTCCAAAGGCTGGAACCTTTCAAGAACACTACCTGAAAACTTTTTAAAAACTCATATGATGGAATCAAAGATGTTGAATATGTGAGACCACACTGCCTTTGGAATGGATTTGTGCCAGTTCTGGCAATAGGCCTGATTAACTGTGGTTGACTGTCAGTAACACAGCAGAGCTCTCACAGTGTGACACTCAAGGCTTTGCAAGCTGCCTGCCCTCCCCCAGCAGATGAGAATACTGACCTGGTTTTTGTAGCCCTTGTCCACTCCAAGTGTCTGGGTGCAAAATTTATGCTTAACACCAAAGTGCCGCATTAGGTAGGCCAGGTCAATAGTCCAGATACTCTTTGTTAACTGGAGTTCCTGGATGGCTTTCTGAAACTCGTCATTGTCCAAGTGATTCAGGTACCTATGGCATTAGGAAAGGCAGGGGAAAGGAAGCACAGATCTTAGGAGAAGCAAAGTGGGTGCTGTAGCCCAAGCCTCCACATCACAGCACATACAAACTGAAACAATGGGCTTGGCTAAGAAATAACCAAAATAAAAAAAACAACCCACAAAGGAGCCAGAAATTTAAGGGAAGGGAGTAGGGAATTTTAACTGGATTTATTGCTGACTTTAAAATTGGAAATGTGTGGGTACCTTGACTGTTTTATAGTACTAGAAGTGTACAGGTGCTGTACCAGAGGCAAGCTGGTATAGAACTCTGTCCTGAAGCGTTTACAGTCTGAATGTACAAGTGTAGTATTAGAGTCAACAGAGAAAGAAGTGTTAAAAGACTAAAACTTCCTTCACGCAATACATGGATTTCAAAAGGAGGAACCATAAAGGAATTCAGTAAATATTCAAAGGAAGCTTGTCTTAGGCATTGATGACACAAAAGGCAAAAAAGGGGAGATGAAGTCAGGAGGAAGCTTGGGATGGGTTGCAAAGGGGTCAGGAGAGGCAGTTACAGAGTTCTGAAAGTAAGAAAACAAATGGAAGTAAATGGAAATTTAAAAAAAAAGGATTGGAATTGAGAATGCAGGGCAAACAAGGTCAGATCAGCAGGGTGAGAAGATTAATCTTGGAAGCTGAGTTTTGGGCAGACTGGAGTGGCAGAGAGGTAAAGGGAATAGAGGTTACAGTAGTCAAGATGGGAAATTACCAGCACACGGACTAACGTCTTGGCAGAAGGGATGGAGAGAAATGAAAATCTTCTGCTTCATATCTACTAAGTGGACATCTAAATAGGTATTTCTCCTGCACCTAAGCTCATGTTCCTCTGTGGAAGGAAAGAGGAGTTCAGCAGGACAGCTACTAGTTCAAAAAAAGTAAAACCAAAACTAAACAAAAAAAGAACCACCAAAGGGCAACACAGTTTTGAAGTTGAAACTACTCCTGGAACAGACACACTCATCCCACAGCTCAGCAGGACAGAGGTAGTACAGGTACAGTACACTCATAAACTGGATACACCTGCCCATCACTTGAAAACACAGAAAGGAATCAGGTGAATCACTGTGCTAAGGATCAGTTCTGAATTACAACAGGAAAGAGGGAACACTTTCTATGAGCTTATGCATGCCAGCCTGCAAAGTTCATAGAGCTGATCGGTATTCTGCATCTGTCAAAGCAGGCAATTATTCAAAAGAGTCCAAAGTTCACTTCAATCTGTATTTTCCCTTGCTCCTGCTGGAAAGCTGTGCCAGGCCCAAGCAGCAGTCACTCTCCAAGGGCACCTCAGAAACTCTTGCTCTCCTCAGACTAAGTTAAACTCAGAGCTGTTCAACACACCTCTTCTCCCTGGATGTTGCTTCCCGCTACCCCTCCCCATGGAATGGGATTTCCCTCACTGAGAGAGCCACTTACTGAAGCACCATCCTGGAGCAGGCCAGCCCACAGTCCCAGTGGTACAGCTGCTGAATCACTGGCACTTTCAGCTGGATGCAGTCAACTGTGTGAGTAAAACACGAAGGATGTCAATCCATACAGGAATGTGTTTCCATACCATTAAAAGTCAGCTTGTCCTCAGCACTGTAGTCACGGAAACTTAGAAATATGTTTTTACTTTATCTGATGGGCAGGTAGCTTTTTTTTATTTCTTGGGGGAATGTACATTTAGTATTTCTGTACAGTTAAGCATTTAATCTCATACTCCTTTATTGCTCCATACCTGGATCAATCTGCATGTCCACCCCCTTTTCCTCTGGAAGTTTCATTTTACTCTTTTTGGTGGGGCAACGTACCTGTGAGCCCTCAACTATGAAGCATAACAGTAGGTAAGGCACAGGTATTCATCCTTTCTCTTGTGTCTGAATGTATTTCTGTGCCACAAGAGAGGAGTTAAACCAAACTGTGAGAAAACAGACATAACCAACAGCTCTGGGCATGGATCTCTTGCAAGTTCCACATTCTACACGTCTTTTTCCTTGGGGCTGTAATTCACAATTTTAAAAAAAACTCACAAAGCTCACAAGTGGCACCAGTTGTCCTTTTGTATTAACTGAACTGCCTCAAAAATTCAGTGGAGAGGGAAAAAGAATAATCTCTACCAAAAAGTCTCAGAATACAAGTAGCTCCATCCCTCTGCCTCAGTTTTTATTTTTATGGAGCTGGCAAGGTGGTAGTTTCAGTGTCAGGAACACCCTAACCACTGGAAGGATTGTGAAGAGCTGTGCCTGTCGCTGCTACTTCAGCGTCGACCACAGTGAGTTAATCATAAGTATACAATCATAAAGATCTTTGATCCAGAAAGGCCTTTGAGAAGTTTTTCTAACACAAGGTCACCTACAGTTTATGATGGGAATAAAAATGCATTAGACATCATGTGGATTGGTCCAGTTTTGATGTAATTTTATTTATAAAACTTTTTAGATAATGTTATTTGTAATCTGATAATAAACAAAGCTATAGCCCACTGCAGGGATGAGCCAATGCAGAGATTCTGGACTATTTCCAAATATTTTTTCCTAGCTGTGCCCCTGTTTAATCATGACTTTGAAGATGGGCACACCCATCGGTATATTCATTTTTTTAAATTAATGTAGCTTGAAGTGCTCCTAAGTATCCTGACAAAAAAAAAAACAAACAACCAAGAAAACCCAATTCCCAGATTCTGCTCAAACAGGACCTGTTAAATATTTTGTCACCCTTTTTTCTTGGCGTGTTATGAATTTGTTAACACCCAGGGTCTCTGTCAAGTCCCCAAATTAACCATGAGGTACGTGTTTTCTACATGAAGGCTTCACGGAGCAACAACTACTTTTCCCGGCCGTCCAGCTTCCAGTCACCTGTTCCCAACACAGCCAGAGCTGTCCAGCGGGGGCTGTCGGCTGTCCCGGGACCAGGTACGAGCCGTGGCTGTGAATCGCACCGCGAACCCCTCAGCGCTTTGCCCGGCGCAACCCCCGTGCCCGCGGAGCCGGTAATTCCACATCGCGGCTGCCGAAGCCGGCAGGGCGGAGCCGGGGCCGGCAGGAGCCGCCGCGTCCCCTGCCCGCGTCCCCTCCCCGGCCCGTTCCGCGCTGTCCCCCCCGCCGGCCCGAGCAGGGCCGCACTGACCTGGCGGCGGCCCCCCGGCCTCCCGGGGGCTCTTCATGGCGGCGGCACCCGCCGCCCGCTCAGTGCCGGCCCCGCCGAGCCGGCGGCGCGGCCCCGGGGCCCGGCGCTGGCTCCTCCCGGAGGCGGGGGCTGCGGGGGGCCGGGCCCCGGGGCGGCTGCCCCGCGCCGTGGCGGCGGAGAGGAGGAGGGCGGCGGTGAGGGGGTGTGCGGGCGGGCAGGGGCATGACACGGCGGGCGGGGGGCGCGCAGCCCCTCCCCGGGCACGAGCGGCCCCGAGCGGGAGAGGACGGGACGGGGCCGGACGGGACGGGGCCGCCCCCAGCGCCGCGTTCCGCTTCCGGCGCGCGGAGCAGGGCGGGAGGCGGCGGAGGCCATTAGGGGAGAGCGCGGGCGGCGCGGAGCGGCGGGCGGTGAGTGCGGGAAGGGCGGTGGGGCGGCCCCGGGCGGCGCCCCCGGCATGTCCCCGGGGCCTCCTCGCTCCCCGGGCGCTGTGGGGACGCGCCCGAGCGGCGTCGCATCCCCTGCGGCCCGCGGGGCCTGAGGGGGCCGGGCCGGGGTGGCGGTGTGTGGGGGTGTGGGTGGCTGGGCTTGGCTGGGCTCCCTCACGGCCCGGCTCGGTACTCGGGCGATGCGGTCCCCGGGGGGTCTCGCAGCCCCTCAGTCTGGTTGTGTCGTTATGGGATGCACATGAGGCTGTTCCGGTGAGGTGCACCTGGCGATGCCAGTGGTTCGTTATCTGATACTTAAAAGCGATTTTCTTAGGTCAGAAGAGACCTGGGAAAGATGCGCTTCTGGTATTTAAAGTCTTTCCTTCCATGGGCATCTCCCTAGAGGAGTTTTATTGATGCGTAGTCAAAGCATACGGTGTGTTTGGACAAGTGAGAAAATCGGTGCTGTACACTGGGGAGGATCCTGGGTTGTGTAGGTGAAGCCTTGTCTACGACTTTCTTTGTCATAACGGCTTTTGTTTTCTTCTTGTGTCAGGAGTAGAGCCACAGCACTGCAGCCATGTCGATTGGGGTGCCAATCAAGGTCCTGCATGAGGCCGAGGGCCACATCGTCACCTGTGAGACCAACACAGGAGAAGTTTACCGAGGCAAACTTATTGAAGCTGAGGACAACATGAATTGTCAGGTATACAGGCCCCACAAGGATGGAGGGAAGGCTGGCTGATCTGGGCCTGGGAAGGCTGACAGCCTGATTAAAAGGCTGTTGCTTTTAGAAAACTGTACTGCTGCTTCTTAACCATAGTGAAATGGGTTCAGCATTACAGAGTGCTCCAAAGAGGCCAGAGTTTATTCTTTCCAGTTCTAGAGTCAGCTTGGGCATTCCTGTCAGTAAGATCAAAGGTTTAAGATTCTGTTCTGTGGACAATATTTTTCTGGAGTTCTTTATTAAAGGCCACTGAGCATAAGAATAAATAAACCTTGATTTAAGAAACTGAAGCTTATTTACTGCATGTTACCAAGTCACTGCTGAAATCAAAATGCTTTTTTAATAATTAGGACTAGAGCAGCTTTATTAAACCTGATTGAATATGAGAAAACAAAAGTAACAAAGCTGATAAAACTAATTTGTAAAATGGGGAGAAAGCCAAAGTCCTGGGCAGCAGGCCTGGAGTTTGGATGGCTGTGGATGCCTCGTGTCACAGCTGAGCCTGTGTGAGCACTGACTGGTTTTTACCTTCCAGATGTCCAACATAACAGTGACATACAGAGATGGCAGAGTGGCACAGCTCGAGCAGGTGTACATCAGGGGTAGCAAGATACGGTTTCTCATCTTACCAGACATGTTGAAAAATGCTCCTATGCTAAAGAGCATGAAGAACAAAAACCAGGGTTCTGGAGCTGGGCGAGGAAAAGCAGCTATTCTCAAAGCTCAAGGTGTGTACAGCTTGTTTGTGGTCCCTCCCCCATTCTTCTGTAGAACTGGAAAACACATCTCTACCACTGAGAAGATGTAGGCTGTAAGAAAAGGAAAGATTACTGATTCATACAGTGTTTTTTGTGTGCTTCATCTTATGGTGGGAATCAAGACAAATTGTCCAATTACCTGGATGTGTCATATTGATGCTACAATAATTCAGAGGTATTGAGTGGTCTTGTCAAACAGAGGCTTTCTGTTAAACTTAGTTTTCTGTTTTCCAGCAGTTGTGGCCACCAGCTGTTTGGAATACTTAGGGAAGGATTCAGGTTTTCTTGTTAAGCTTCTGTGGGAAAACAACTTCAGTTATAAAGATGGTACTTAAACTGCTAGGAAGCTGTAATTATTAGCCTTTCTGTAGCTCACCCTCATTTGTACCTTTCTCAGGAGAACAATCCAGTTATAACAAGACTGAGTAACAACCATGTGCCACAAAGTCTCTGATTAACATTAACAAATGCAGTAAGGTTACATGGGGGGTAACATCTGCTGAAACATACTGAGTTCTGTTGCAAAACCTTGGAAGAGTGTGGAGTTTTAAATCTCTCAGGCTACACAAATTTGTGTATCAGCTTAGAAGGAACACGAGATATATGAATATTTGCTGCAGCTCTTCTAAAGGGCCGGAGTGGGACCATTAGTTCTGGTTCTTCTCACAGAAAGCTTCTTGCTGTCACGTCACTTTCTGAGCGTCGTAGGGCAGCCTGTTTTCCTTCCTTCTGAGCAAGAGACTTTGTTGTATAGGTTTTGCTTGTCAGTTGTTGAGATAAATATGCAGGTATGTCAAATTCATGTCATCTCTGATGTTTTCTTTCTTCAGTGGCTGCAAGAGGAAGAGGCCGTGGGATGGGCCGTGGCAACATCTTCCAGAAGCGAAGATAATTTTGATCTTGACAGACATGCTTTTTTTTATTAGGGGTGTTAACTTGACTGTGTGTGCATTGGTTTCAGTTTTGTTTAATAAATGTTTCTGACAAAAACTTGTCCGCTCTTACGTTACAGGGCAATTCTTGGGCAAACACACTGTAGGTTAATTTCAAACTTAAGCCAGCTTTGCCTGGAGAATAGTGAACTTTAGGTTTGACCACTTCGTGTGATGCATTGACTTTTAAAGATCATTATTTTTCCTTTTTCTTGTTTAGTCCTGTTTCATTTATTCTCAAAAGAATTAGAAGGCATTCTTAATGAAGAATTTCTAAGTCATACACTTTAAAGTCTTATTAGCAGCTGCATTTATGGAAAACAGAGCAAAATAGAGGCAGCTTCCTGAGAAGCAAAGCACTATATTCTTTTGCTTTGTATGGACCTACAATGGATAGAGGTCCATTCAGATCTGTATATTGAGCTTGTATTCTTGCATTTCTTAGTTTTCTTTTTGGATACGGGGAGAATTTTTCATTAGGAACACAATTTTGGTAGCCTGAGTCTGTCCTTGCAGTGAAAAAATCTAACTCTCTCAGCAGTTTTTCCCTCTGTCTGGGAAGACAGAATATAAAATGGGCATTTTCCAGGATAAATTTGAAATGTTTTGTAAATTTGAAAGGTAGTGCAGGTGTATGGGGAAAGTCTTACAAATTATTATCCATTAAACACAACTCCATAAAAATGTTTGTTTTGAACAAAACTCATCATCACCTTCAGCTCTTGGTCTTAACATCTCTACACAGTCATGTAGATAATCAGCTGATCTGCAGGAAACCAAATGTAGTTCTAACTAATTTTATTTTGCTGAAAGTGTAGTGTGGTTGTTTTTACTGACTTAAGTGGTTGAAATGTTTAAATGTAACACTTCTGTATCTAATCACATACTTGCATACAATCAACTATGAGTCTGTACACACAGGAAAGAGCTAGTCATGCTTTTCTGCTCTGATGCTGTGAAGACTCTCCCTTGTGTGCAGAGAGGAAAGTTGAACTAATGTATTGATTTGTTGAATTGTGCGTAAATAAAGCTGTATTTGGTCTCAAACCACTAGGAAAAACCCTGCTACTTGTTCTTCTGGGTAGTAGTGATCCTAAATATTTGCATTGGAAACCTCCTTAGCATGTGTTGAAGCTTAAATTATAAAAGCATTGTAGTGTCATCTTATGCCTCACGGGAATGTGTCCAAAAGACAAGACAGTTTTCACAAAGCCCTGCTTCAAAACGTGGTGTGTGAGTCACGTTTGCGTAGCAGTAATGCTTTCCTGAAGATGGTGTTTCCAACTTCAAATTAGCAATTTGAGGCTTTAGTAATGATACTAAACACTTCCTTGTGGAACTGTGTCATTCTTCAAATCAGCTGTCACTCAGAAGAGGATCGTGAGCACCTGTTGATCAGGTCATTTCACTCTGTGTAAGACTGCCCTGGTCTGTGTGCAAACTACAACCTTTCTAATCACTGGTGGTAATAACTCTTGATTCTGTTGGCAGTTCTTTAACAGCTAGTGATTGTAGCTCTTACTGTGGAGAGAAGACATTGTCACAGAATTTCTTCCCCATGCCCAGGTAGACGCTTCTGGATGTTGCAGGACTTGAGAAGGGCCATCTTAACATGAAGCTTAAGTCTGTTTTGAGTCTCTGTACTAGATGCCTGCTAAGACTGACATTTTTTAACACACAGAGGAGAAAAGAATTCTGTTCTGTAGCTGCACCATGAGTTTCATGGTAAGAATTGGACTGCCTGTGGTATCCCAGGCTAATGCCTGGGATTTCTGTAAATGTTTTGGTAAGAACAGATATTTCTGCTGACATCCCTGCCTTTGTTGCTGTATGGTGGTATACAAGAGCAGCAGTATAGCTGTTGGAAATAGATGTCTTTCATTTGCAGTCTTTTAACTGGGTTTTGCTGCTTTTAGTAACCAGGCTTATGATTGTGTTGAAATTTTGAACAGTGGAGTTACACTGTGTTAGCAGGCAGACATGGACTGATATGAGACTAGTTTACTTTCTGTGTAACTTGAATTGTATCTGCTGCAAGATTTGATAGGATGCTGCTTCAGCAGCTAGAGCTGACTTGGAAAGCAAGCACCCAATAGAAACCTGAGCTTGGTTAGTACAGTTAATTGTCCTAAATATAAACTGGTATAGGATGGAGAGTGTGATTGTTGAGGGCTGTCAAGCTGTTCTGCTGAAAGGGTGTTATCCTGGCCATGGCTGATGTACAGTGAGGGACAAAGGAA